TGAAGGGCCTGGAGAACAGACCTTATCAGGAGCGATTGAGGGAGCTGGGTCTGTTCAGTTTGACGAAGAGGAGGCTGAGGGGGGATCTCATCATGCTCTACAATTACTGGAAAGGACATTGTAGAGAGGTTGGTGCTGGTCTCTTCTCACAGGTAATTAGGGACAGAACCAGGGGGAATGGTTGCAAGTTGCAACAGGGCAAGTTTAGGTTGGACATTAGGAAGAAATTCTTGACAGAAAGAGTGGTCAGACACTGGAACAGACTGCCTAGGGAGGTGGTTGAGTCGCCATCCCTGGATGTGTTTAAGTGTCGCTTAGATGTGGTGTTGGGTGATATGGTTTAGGGGTGAACTTGTAGTGTAGGGTTAACGGTTGGACTTGATGATCCCAAGGGTCTTTTCCAACCTGAATTGTTCTATGATTCTATGAAATAGAAATTAAAAAAGGAAAATAAACATAAAAATAATCACGAAGGCCGTCAAGGCGCACCAAGGGTTGCTCTGAGGCGGGTGCGGGCTCGGTAACAATGACGTTTGAGCAGTGACGGCTCTGGCCAAGCACACAGTTCAGTAAAAACAATGTCCTGTGCAGAAATGCCGTTCATGGGTTTTAAGTGGGTAACAGACCTTTGCCAGGGGTTGGGTTCTGCACAGTGACACGTGTGCAGGCTCCCTGTTGGTGAAGTTCAGTCTTGCTGCTGAGAAAACTGTCCAGACCCTGTAGTCCTTCAGCTGGTTTGGCCCTTAAGAGCATTAAAAAGCAGTGCTATCTGCTTTTCCTTTTCCCCCTGTAATCAGCAGGTAACTAAGAATGCATGTGGAGGAGAATATAATGTTAACGTATGGTACTTAACAGCTCTGAACCGCAATACTTGCAATTAGTGGTCCCAGAAGACGAAATCCCTGAGAAACCCCAGTAAGGAGAGCTCACTGCTTGTGTCTAAACAGGTTTTTCTCTTACAGGTTATTAAAGCTCGAGTGAAAGACCTTATGATCCCGAGGTACAAGATTGTTGTGGTGACACATGTTGGGCAGCTGAAGGAGCAGAGCATGCAGATCGGAAGCAGGTGCCTGTGGGATCCTGCGAGCGATACGTTTTCGTCATATGTGTTCAAGAATGCTTCACTCTTTGCTCTTGCAAACGTCTATGCTGTCTATTTTGAATAAGGCGGTAGCTGGGTTTAACAGCAGGGGAAATGAGCACTCAGCCTAACTCTTAACTACTTCTGTTGTTGAAAACTATTGTGAAGGACCCAAAGCAACTTTCACCTGATTTGAAATGTGGTTACCGTAAGCCTTTTGGTGGTGAATGTAATAACAGCATTTCCCAGAGCTTTCTTTGGGAAGTAATTCCCTGTGACACACTGTTTTCACCCTGAATTTGCCTTCACTACATGATCCCCAAGTAGAAACCGTGGATTTTTGGAAAGTAAGGCAAAAGCGTTTTAAAACTTTCCCCGTTAAATTGGATTTGTGGGCAGTTAAGTGCATGCCCGTGGCCCCAGCTTCGTGCACACACTTAATTATGGATGCTGTGTCCTGTCAAGCTGCAGTAGCTCAGTGCTGTGAGTTACCCTGCCCTGACAGGGGGACCGAGGGATCCCTCCACACCTTCTTGCCTTCAGGTTTAGAGTATATAGATCTAACATGTCTGGACTCTTCTGTTAAAGGTGCTTGAATGTAGCAAAAAAAATGCTGAATTGGGATCCTCAGCTGATACTTGCCTACAGGTAAGAGAGGAAGTATAGCCCTCTGAGCTCAGGAGTGTGTTTCCAATCTACCTGTGTGCAAATTAGCTGTCCCCTAAGTGGGATGCCGGGGTAGACATTACTGGAAGAAGCTGGAATAGGAAATAAACGGTGGTTTTATTCCGATTCATAAATTGCATTGTTTTGTCAAGATCATCCACACAGATGGGTTTATGATGATTTTAATACATGAAAGCCATGTGACATCGAACCACATCAGCACGGCTGCGTTTTAGCACAGGGAACTGATCTCTCTCTCGCTGCAGCCGATGCTGCAGCAGGATGTGGTGAGCAACTGGGCTAATTCACGTTTTTTTAGCGCAGACATCTTCCTGGCGTGTTGCAAGCCTTGCTCTGTGTCGGGTTTGTTGTGGTGGATTTCTTTGCTGTCAGTCTCCAGCCTCTGGCCTGCACGCATCAAGGCATCGGCATAACTGTTGTCTTCTTGTGAGAAAGGCAGGGGATTTTCACTCTCTGTCACATAAAAATTAGAAGCTAAAAATTAGAAGTTGTGGAATTGTGAGTAGTTTATGATATTTATGTTTACTAGAAAGACAGACCAGCCTACAGCCAGGGAGCTGAAGGTACAATCCTTAACAGACTCTCAGGCAGGGTGCTGCAGGTGGCATTGCTTTTTGTGTTTGTTGGAAGCTGCTGCTACAACAGAATTTTCAAAAAAATAAAAGCAGATGCTACAGTTTGGAAAAGTGTAGAAAATCTTTGCTGTCATCTGCCTCATTTATTTTCTTTTTTCCAGTTGTTTTAACCCATCAGAGTACAAATTTCTAGCAGCACGTGTAATGGCTGAATTTTCTGACTCTCTAAAAATGTGCTAATAAATATGTATACAACACGTGAAGATACTTAATTGCAGAGTCTGTGTTTGACATTAATCACAATATGCTGAAGTTGTAATAAAGTTTCTCTTTTCTAGTGGGGAAAGTAGCATGTCCCACTGAAGACAAGGTTAAAAATCTTGCATCGACTGCAGCAAAGCTCATCTCTGATGTCAAAAAGGTCAACAGCACAAGAGATTTCCAGCAGTAGCCTTGAGCTTCACTCGTGCCTCCTCAGATTGGCTTGAAAAATCTTCATCTGATTGTTTTTTATTTAGCAAAACCAGCACACTAAGCAAGCTAAGCCGAACAAGCTGTGCAGCTCTGCCGCAAGCGACAGCCTGCAGGTGGTTTGGTTCTCCCCAGTCCCCTGGGAGCCAGATGCACCTTGCTAGGGCGATAAGCTCCTAAACCTGTTAATTAGCACTTACCGAACAGGTAGTGGTAATCAGGTAAATCCCTTTTCCACCGGGAGCCTCCACATGTGAAGACGATGGCTCGGACCAAGTCTCTCCCGCAGAGCTTCACGGTATTTCCTTCGGCTCTTCCTTGGCCTGCTGTGATGAGGAGGGTGAGCAAGGCCAGCGCCAGTGTTGTGCCCCTCATCCTGCAGCGTTGCGCTTCCTGCTCAGTGTCTGCCAGGGCTGGGGAGTCCTGCTGGAACCCTCTTGTTTATACAGAGCGCCCGTGCGCTCCGCTGGGTAAGGGCTCGTTCCGAGGATGACTTAATGTTTGCTAAAAACAAGTTAAATCGCTTGTTTCCGCTTGTGTTTGAAGTGCTTTGGGACTTATGCTGGGACATCAGTCAGCGTATAAAGATTTTTAAGGCTGTGTGACTGCTTTGCTATAGGAACACGTGGAGCATAACAACTTTATAGGGAATGGGTGTAGACTGATACTGTTAATGTGTATGTTTTGTGAAACCCAAAGGGTGTTTATGATGTGATTTTTAGGTAATGGGTTTTGTCTCCGTGTGCTTCCCACCCAGCTGAGCTACCACAGCCTGTTGCTCAGTTGTGCCTGTTGTCACCCTTCAGACAACTTCAGGTCTCTCTCTGTTGGTGATCCCAAACTAAAAGGGAGTTAACTTCTTCCAGGGGTGCCCACAGTTGTGTGCCTCTTCCTTACACCTGCCTTATTCCTTTTCTAAGCGTCCCCTTGTCAAGCTGGTGACTGCAAGTGCTTTGGAGGAACCTGCTGGTGCCAGAAGCAGAGAAAATCAGGTATGGGGAGGGTTGTGGCAAACGTAGGCATCCAAGCCTGCAGATGTCTACCAGGCTCCGTGACAGGTTATGATCCTGCAGCACACGGGAATTTGAGTGCAGTGAGCTCGCTGTGACACCCGAACGTGGTGGAGTCGCTCCACTGCAGCAGGACAGCTCGTGTGTCCCTGCAGCGAGGCCTGTGGACATGGCTCTTGCCCAGAAAGGATAGAAAGGACAGAAAGAAAGGATAGGAAAGAGAGGGAGAGGCTCTAAACAAAGCACAATATAGCTGCAGGTTGGTGTCCTGGCCATCCTTTTCTGTTCGATAATATCTCAGAGTCAGAAGCGTGTTTGCTAAAGCGGTGTGGAGTGGTGTGCTCTGGGAGTAGAGGTTAGAGGTAGATTGGTTGCGAGATTGGTCCCTTCTCGTTGCTCTGGATGTTGCTGGCTGCAGGTGCTATAAGCTTTTATTAATAAAAAATAAATTTTGCAATAAAATGCCTTGAGGAGACAATTTGGCAGTTACGAGGTCAGAAATCCCATGTTTAAGAACAAAATACAAGAGGAACTTCGGTGATCGTTAGCATTTCCTAGCACCATGAGTATTTTCCAGCCCTGTAATGTTACAGTTAATTAGTTTACACAATGTGCAGGATGAATTACAGTGTGTTACAGCCTTGACAGAAAGCTCGATTTTTTTTTTTTACCAGTAGCATTGGTAAATAAATAGTCCTGACAACCAATGGAAACTATATAGTGTATTTTTGTTCCGATTTGTAATAATGATTAACACATGATTCACCTTAATGGGCATCTTTCTTTGAAATACACAGAGATTACTTTTATGTCGAGGGTAAGCTCGCCCGTTCCCTGTAAAAGGTGCAGAACGCAGAAGTAAGTGAATGTTAATGCATCACAAATGATCCTGAAGTTCGGTGATGTGTTTAAATGTTGGACGTTTATTGTCAGGCTAATGAGAAAGCCCAAATGTTCTGTATCTATAAAATATGTGTCTTGCTACATAACATTTTCATTTTCAAGAGCGGGCAGCTATTGCCTCTCTGAGTTGGCAGGCAGAGCGCTCCCCCTACGAGCTTTATCCTTGCTCTTGTGGAGGGGGAATCTAGAGCTATGTCTGTGAGATGTTCCATGTTTTAAGTGAGCATCTGAAAATCCTGTAAGACACCACGGTCCAGCTGACGGCTCATTGGGTGCCTTTCTTCTGTGTCTTCTGATTTGCGCCACACACACCACCACCACCCTCCCCCCCCCAAAGACACCTTGGAGAGCCAAATGCTGACAGCTTCTAGCCAGCCATGCAGGGCTGAGTGTTCCCAGCAGCTTTCAGCTCTCCAGCTGCTGGAGTGGGCTAGGGGAGGTGGTGAGATCGAGAAAAACACACAACTGGCTTCCAGAGCTGCCAAGTCAATCCTTGCTCCAGGACCACACTGTTACCTTGTGTGAGGAGCTTTCGGAAAAGTGTTACTGTGGAACAGGGTGAATTTAAACTGCAGTTTTACATTATCCTCATTTGCCAGGGGTCAAAAGAGCGGGTCTCTCTTTTTGCCTGGTGTGGGGTGATCTGCAGCTTGCAGGTGCTCCTGAGGCCACTCAAAGCTCAGCTCTCGCCCTCAGCGGTGGTTTCTGGGAGGACAGATGAGATGGGTCTGATGAAGAGTCCCTTCCTTTGCTGTATGATTTCACAGGGAAGATACAAAGCACATGAGGTAAAGACTTGGGCTCTGTTATGGTGTGGCCTGTACGGCAGGTGGTGCTGGCATTTTTGCTTTTTGAGTTAGCCAAGGAAAAAAGTCCTTGGAGAACAAAACCAAGGAGAAAAAAAAAAAAAAAAAAAGACTACAGAGACCTTTCTTACCTGTATTATAGGGAAGGCCATCTATGTATTAATACTGCTCATTTAACGAGGAGGACTTCCAGGGGAAAATGTAGGAGTTTCTAACCAGTACAGTTTCAAAGAGAAATTTTAATGACTGAAAAAGAATAAACTGTTGATCTTAATACTACAAAAAGTGTTTTCTAGCTGTTTACCAGCTGAGCGATGATGTCATTTAGCTGCTGTTAAATAGCTACAGCAGGACCAATTATGTAGAGTGTCAGCCTGCAAAACAAGGAAAAAAAAAAAGGAGCTGTGTGACAGTGTAATTGCAATATAAGACATGCAGTGACCCAAAATTCCTATTTCCAAACTGGGAACAGAATCCCTTATGCAGTGGACATCCAAAAGGCAGGCTAAGGGAACTTGTGGTATGTCAGCTGATTCTTCTTTTGGAATTCTGTTAATACTACACTTACCTCTGACAGTCCTCCCTGAAAACGGTGCTTTTTTGGCAGGCCTGCTTGGATTGCATTTGTAGGATCATACTTGGGAGCACACAAACATGTATTTTGTTTATAAAGGAAACTAACTTTCAGGCTGATACATGGATAGGAGCTGTGCTTACACGATTGCCCCAAAGGAATTCTCTCCCTTTGGCATTAGTCATAGTGTAGACCCTGTCATGCTGAGCCTTGTACGTACCCAAGCTGAGGAAGACCTCGCTGTTACCAGAAAAGGGAGTGAAAGAAGCAGGTGGCGCAGGAAAGCGGGGTTCCTGCTGGCTGGTGAGGCTCTGTGACTCACTGACCCATTATGCCACATGCCCAAAGGCTGTAAAATTCAGCACTGATATTTTTAGTTCTGTTCTGGTGACATACTCAGAAAATTATCCCTATGCTCTTAAGAACGGAAGAACTTGCCTGCTCAGAGGACTGCTCTGTGGTGATTTGTAGGAAAAAAACCCTCACTAATTTTATTTTCTAAGTTTAAGAACAGTGGCCTCACTTTTAGTTTTTGAGGGAAATACCTTTTTGCTCTGCGGTTTACAGCACTTGGCACATAACACTGGTAGTTAACAGAATAATTGTGAATTATTAATGTTTAATACCCTAAGAATGAAAGTTAATGTTGACATCGTCCCTCTCTCCAGCTTTGGTGTTTTGCACCATGTAACTCAGAGGGGATTAAAAAAAGTACCAGTCCCACTTTACCAGCTGAGAAACCAAGCCCAGTCGCCCAAGCTACTCACTCAGAGCCGAAAGGACGAAGGGAACAGTGTGGTTTGGGGCCGCAGGCCTCTCGTGGATAGATCCTGGGGGATCTATCTGCACTTAGATCCTGGAGGAGAGATCCACCCTGTCCTGGAGTACCCAGGGTGGCATCAGGATTTTGTGCTGTGGCCCAGGCAAGGAGGGTGGTGGGGAAGCAAAGCCAGAAGCAGGCAAAAGATAAAGCTCTGCTGCTTGAGGAGGTGAGGAAGCAGAAGCTGCAGTTTGAGGACACGAGGGTGCAGAAGCAAGCAAAGTACCTGAAGCAGGTCACAGAGCAGCTGCAGGGTAGGGAGAAGCATCTTTCTCAGTTTCTGATGCAGGTCCCAAGAACCACCTGGCCAGGCATCCTGTGGATTTCTCCTTGCTTTTCCAGTCATGAATGGCCACACCTCTTGACACAATTCCATAGTGTACTTTTTTGAAAACTCCTTTGTTCTTTTCTTTTTTTTTTCTCCATTCTGGAGAATCTTGGGCAAGAGTGTCCTCTTGCTTTCTGTGGCCTCATTCCCCATTCTTACCTTTTTTAGGGAACTTTGAACCCCTTCTGCACTTAGGGGACTCAACCCCCTTTTTTACTTAAAACGGAGCGTAGGGACCTAAACTCTACTTCCCTGAAGTGCGGGGAATTGAACCCCAGCTTTGCATTCTCTGTGCACGGAGTTTAAACTCCTTCTGCAGCTTCCCACTCCACAGTTCTCAGGTGAACTCACCTGTTTGCCAGCAGTGTGGACGTTTGGAGCTGGGAGGCCACAGAGTCGCATCCTAGGGTCCCACCTGGGTCACCATCTGCTAAAAAAGAGTCTGGGAAGACCCTCAAGGGATGTGGTTTCTCTTGATCTTTCTAATTTGTGCTGGTTTCGGGCACTTCCTTCAGCCTAAGCTCAGCAGCATTTAGGTAGAAGTCCACAGTCTGGCCCTAAGGCTTCAGTAAACATCGCTAGTCATGCTAAGCAGTGTTGCTCATAAAGCAAGTTTCCATTCATTGTCATTTTAAGGAATCACACAATTAATTCTAATATTCTAATAATACAAGTAAACTATTTTAATCTCCAATAAGGGCCCAGTAGGGCTTTGGTATAAATTAGCACCAATTCATGCAGAAGTAAACAGAAGAGATTCATGGTTGACATCCATCGGCTTTTGTGCTGCTGTTCAGGGGACTGTGATTTAGTGGTGGGTCTGGAAGGGCTGGGTTAACAGTTGGGCTCGATGATCTTAAAGGTCTTTTTTCCAGCCCAAATGATTCTGCAACATGGAACCCAGGCAGTGGTGCAACTGGAAAGGAATCTAGTT